AAGGTTGGTGGAATTGCGGATAGCGATGAGGACCGTGAAAGGATACAGCTGGATATAGTTTGGTTGGTGACTTGGGCAGAGAGATGGCAGATGGAGTTTAATCCGGAAAAATGAGAGGTAATGCATTTTGGAAGGTCTAATCCAGGTGGAAAATATACAGTAAATGGCAGAACCCTTAAGAGTACTGATAGGCAGAGGGATCCGGGTGTACAGGTACATGAGTCACTGAAAGTGGCAACGTAGGTGGAAAAGGTAGTCAACAAGGCATATACGGTATGCTTGCCTTCATCGGCCAGGGCATTGAGTTTAAAAATTGGCAGGGAATGTTGCAGCTTTATAGAACCTTAGTTAGGCCTCATTTGGAATATTGTGTTCAGTTTTGGTCACCACACTACCAGAAGGATGTGGTGGCTTTGGAGAAGGTGCAGAAAAGACTTACCAAGATGTTGCCGTATGGTGGGCATTAGCTATGAGGAGAGGTTGGAGAAACTTGGGTTGTTCTCACTGGAACGACTGAGGTTGAGGGGCGATCTGATAGAGGTCTACAAGATTATGAAGGGCATGGACAGACTGGACAGTCAGAAGCTTTTTCCCAGGGTAGAAGAATCAACTATTAGGGGGCATATGTTTAAGGTGCAAGGGGCAAGGTTTAAAGGTGATGTACGAGGCAAGTTTTTTACACCGAGGGTGATGGGTGCCTGGAACTCGCTGCCAAGGGAGGTAGTGGAAGCAGATACTACAGTGACTTTTAAAGAGCATCTTGACAAATATATGAATAGGATGGGAGTAGAGGGATCTGATCCCCGGAAGGTAGGGGGTTTTAGTTGTGATGGGCAGTATGTCGGTGCAGGCTTGGAGGGCCGAAGGGCCTGTTCCTGTACTGTAATTTTCTTTGTTCTTTAGGACAATAGAGGTTGAGGTACCTCAAACAGGGTTGACAATAATTCTCAAAGAGCTTCCTAAAGTCACACTCCAGCACAGGTTTGTGCAGTCTGCTGGAAATACGGTTCTGGTAATCAGCTACTAGCTTTTACTCACTTCAGTTTATCAAAGATTTGCTTTATAGGGGAAATTGCATGAAACTTTGTCTTTCTCAACATTCCTCCTTGCACTGTGCACTCAGTTATTGTGCCATTTTGTGAAGAAAGTGCAAGGGAAAATAATTATTTGACAAATTAGAACTTCAAAATCTCAGAAGTGTTTAACTGTACTGATATCTGAAGGGCAATCTGCCAAATGAATAGGTTTTGGTCTCATCAGGTGAAAATCAATTTCCCTTCATTTGGAAAAACACAGATTTGAATAAACTATCCACCCAGTTATTGCTTAAACTTTGGAACTCAACATAAATGCTGACATTATTGAGAAACTTTTATAATTCATGACCTGAAATGATGGCTTTTGGCACTGAAAGGCAAGTCTGTACAGAGTTCAAAATATGCAATATTTGGACTAAATTGAGACACTGCTGTTTCTATCTTGTTGACTCAGGCTGGAGTCTGACTGCACACTTTCTCCAGTATATCGATGGCATCATCCTTGCTGCTTCCTTCTTGGCCAGAATTCAAATTTCCATCCCACACTCACCTTCACCTGGTCCATCTCCAACTCCTCCCTTCCCTTTCTCAACTGTACATCCTCAAACCCTATTTCCTGTGAAGACTATTCCATTCCTCTGTTTCTGTTGCATATGTTCTGATGATGCCAACTTCGATAAAGTTGCCTCTGAAATGTCCACCTTCTTCCTCAGCTGAGCACCGTGGTTAACAATGCCCTCAGCCGTGTCTGACCTATCTCCCACAACATAAGATCCCCCTTGTCCTTGCCTACCATCTCACCAGCATCCACATCCAGAAGATCATTACCTGCCATTTCTGCTACCTCCAGACACACATTCCCTTCCCCTCTCTTGTCAGCCTTCTGCAAGGCCCTTTACCTCTGGGATACCCTGGTTCACTCTTCCTACACTCCCACAGCATTTTCCCCTGCGATTGCAGGTGTAACACTGGTCCATTTACTTCTTCTCTCCTCTATATGCAAGGTCCCAAACACATCTTCCAGGTGAAGCAGAGATTACCTGCACTTCACTCAATCTACTACATTCATTGCTCACAGTGTGGTCTCCTCAATATTTGGGAAATGAAGCACAGACTTTGAAGAAGTACTGTCTGCAAAAAAGACCCTGAGCATCCAGTTGCCTGCCATTTCAACATACCACCTTGTTCCCTGGTCAACATCTGTCTCAGGCTTACTGCAGTGCTCCAGTGAAGCTCAGCACAAGCTGGAAGAACAGCACCTAATTTTCTGCTTCGGAAATCCGCAACCTTCTGGACTCTATGTAGAGTTCAACAGTTTTAGAGCTCAAGCACCTTTTCCCCCACCCTCTTACACGAGGCCTTGTTGTTACACAGGCTGCGACCATACACTACCCATTGTCAGCCAACAACTGTCCCCATTAGCAGCTTTTAAGTCCCCCAACTGACCTCTTACTAATCCTTTGTCTGTCCAACTGTTCTTCTCTCTCTTTGGACTCCATCTTCACCAATGCTTTACTCTCCCCTCACCCTGTTTTTTTCCCTAGCTACCATCAGTTGTGAAGAAGGGTCAGTGGACCTGAAACATTAACTGATTTCTTTCTACAGATGCTGCCAGACCTGCTGAGATTTTCCAGCAATTAGTTTTCTTTGAGTGCATTGTCTTTGTTACATTGCATGGCCTTATTCAATTTGTAGATGAATTGACTGTAATAAATGCAGTAAATCTCCGTCATTGATCCTTTAGTGTCTTTGGACATTAACAATAACAAAGACCAACACCTTCATTGACTGCTAAGCAAAGCAAAAGACAAAACTGAAAATAAAAGTTATTCTCATGAATAATAATTAATATCAGGGAGAGATTATAAGTTATGGATTTAAGTTAGGGCTCAGATGAACATTCAGGTAACCTGGGATTCTTCTTGAAGTATTCAATGACTCTTGAGCTCCTATGAAATAAAATAGGACCAGAAGCAGACTTTTTGCCTTTTGAGCTTGCTATACCATTTAATACAATCATGACTGATCTCCAGCCATAACTCTGCTTTCTTTCCCATTGCCTAAATCTTTTGGTTCTGAGTGATTAAAGATCTGACTACTTCATATTTGAATCTGTTCAATGGTGGAATGAGAATATTTCTCCCTGCCTCCATCCTAAATAATCGACCTCCTATAATGAGGCTTTTTCCAAGTGTTCTAGATCTCTCAGCCAAGGTAATTAACATTGCAGTTTCTATCCTGTCAAATCCCTTAGGAATCTTTTATGGTTCAATGAGATCAGCTCATTCTTCTAAAAGTAAGGGCTCAATTTATTCACTCTTTCAGCAACGGACAATCCTGTACCCTAGGAACTACTCTGGTGGATATTTGGAGTAGCACCTCCAATGCAAGTAGGTGTTTTGTAAGATTTAAAGATCAAAGCTTTACATGGAATTCTAGGTGTGGTCTCATCGAAGCCTTAACAATTGCAGGGAAGCTTCCTTATTCTTGTATTCTAATCCCCATTCAATAAAGGCTAAATATCGTTTAACTTCCTATTTTCTTCTGATGCCTGCATGTCAATTTTGTGTTCCTTGTACAGTTTAAACAAAAAGCCCCACTGAACATCAACATTTACAATCTTCACATCTTTTTAAAAAAAATTCTGTTTTTCCACTCTTACCGTCAACATGACCACACCAGGCACACTTAAAGTGGTTTGTGAAACGTGAATTTGTATGGCTCAATTAATCTCCGTTTTAGTTTTTTTTGAGCATTCCATTTCAAAAATAACCAGTTGCAAAACTTTAGTCTTAAACAAGATAAGGATTAGTTTATTAAACAAATATTGCTGACAGTTGCTAAGTAAAATCTTAAAAATTATAATTATTAACTATAATGTAGGTCCAAAGTTTAGAAAGTAGTCATGCATAAACAGTACTAATAAAGATGGGAAAAAGACAAGTCTGTTAACTTTGCAGGCCTGTTACTTGAAGATTTCTGTTTCTGAGGTGAAGAGGTCAAAAAAACTAGAAGTCAAACTTAGCAATTATGATGGCTTTTGTAGTTGAATAGTTTGAGTTTGTTTGTAGAGGTGGGCACAGCATATAGTGCTGGCTTTGAGAGAGAATGAAAGAAGTTGTCTTTTTCACACACTCTCTCTCTCTCTCTCTAGGCCTGCTCTTTGCTTCTTGTCTAGTAACCAATCCTCTAACCGTACTAATATATTATCATGAGCATTGTCTTGCAAGTTAACCTTTTGTGTGCCATCTTTCCAAATGTATTTTGGAAATCCAAGTATGCTACACGCTTTTGATGTCTGTCAAGCATGATTTCAATTTTGTAAAACAACGTTGATTCTGTTTGATTTATACCATGATTTTCTAAGTGCATTGTTCAGACACCCTTAATAATAGATTCCATTACTTTCCCAATGGCTGCTGTCAGGCTTGTAGTTCCACATCTCCTTCCTTTCTTGAACAGTGGTGTTACATTTGTTCACTCCCAATCTCCAAGGACTGTTCTAGGGAAGTCTGACAATCATGGTCAGGAAATCCACCATCTCTACACTCATCTCTTTATGAAGCCTTGATCATAACGCATCATTCTGGGGTTTTATTGACTTTTTAGTACCCTAAGTTTCTCTCAAACCTTTTCTAAACTGAAATTAAGTAAGTTTCTTGTTCTCAATTCCGCCTTGGATGACTTCCATTTCTGCAATGTAATATGTATATTCCACTATGCAAACAGATAAACTATTTGCTCAATTCTCTGTTTATTCCTCATTCCCCATAATTTCTCCTGAATCTCTCTGTCTTTCTCTCTCTCTCTCTTCCCCATCCCCACCAAAGGACCAGCATTCACTTTTGCTATTCTTCTCCTATTTGTATACTTTTAAATGCTTTTACAAACTTATTTATATTCTAGCCACTAGCTTTCTCCTTCCCAATGTGTAATTATGTTCAAATATTCTCTGCTCTGTAGCAATATAGGAGGAAACTCCATAAATAGGGTGACACTGGAATTTTGGCGTGCTGGGCAAAATAGAGAGGATATCACTATGGAAGATTTGGAGCACCAGATCCAAAGAGAAGCTGCAACATCAAAAGGTAAATTACATTGGGAAAGCATATGGGTGAATGAAAGAGTAATAGCATAGAGGAACATGTTAAGAAATTCTGAAGAATGGTGATGATAATGGAATAATAGGGCATTGCTAGGGAATAAGATAGTTAGAATGAGAAATAACTGCACAGGAAAGCACTTCAAGGAGGTTATTAGGTTTTGAGTGGAGGCTGAAGGGTATTAGGTGATTATTTGGATAAAACTACTGTGCAAGGGTATGGGGAAAAGCAGGAGTTAGGCCGTGATGCTCATTTAATGCACTAGTGCAGGCACAATAGGCCAAATGGCCTCCATCTGTACCGTAACATTATGTAGTTCTGAGATTTTCGTGTGTTGATAATCAAAATAGTTTAATTGCTGCCTCTAGAATCAACTAAAAATAGCAACAAGCACATGCGGTAAATAGTCACCAGCAACAATGCCATCACACATTTCTGGTGAAGACCATATACATCAGCAAAACATTAAAATTGCTGGTCTAATGGCAATACAAAAGGTCAGAATTTGAATGCAATGCCAAGGCAAACAAGGCTATGGGTAACTACTGAAAAATGCGGTTAGAATGGTTAGGTGGTTGTTTTTGGCTGACACAGACTCAATAGGCCAAAGAGCCTTTTTCTGTGCTGCAGATATCTATGACCTCAAATTTTTCCAATAATGTGAGTGGATTATATATACCACCAGCTCTGTTAATAAACTAATAAAAATCACTAAAGAGACAAGCAATCAGGAAGAATCAAAAGTTATCTTTTTCCTCTGTTATTTCCAGGTGGATTTGCGCACAGTGGCCTTGTGACTGAAAACCTAATTGACTTCTTCATCCCTTTCTTACCACTGGAGTACAAGCATGTTAAGTTGTGTGTGCGTGATGCTCTTCTGTCCAGAGGAATCCAGTATGATTTCGACATTCTAGATGAAGTAGCTAAGGGAATGCTGTATGTTCCAAAGGAGGAAAAGCTTTTCTCTGCACAGGGCTGCAAATCAGTTGCACAACGGGTCAACTTTTTTCTTCCGTAAAGCTTTAAGGGGTTCAAGAAAAATCCACAAGAACAAAGTATTAGAATGGAACTTGAATGGCAAAAAAAAACTCTAACACTCAGCAGAAAAGTCATGGCCTTTTTCATCTCATGGCCAGAACAGAAATTTCGCCCAAGAAACAGAAAACAAGTGCCCTTTAATTTAATTCAAAGACAGGGAAAATTATATTCTGGTTACGTGAATCTTAAGTAAACCATTCATGTTGCTTTGCCTCTGCTATACATTTTATTGGTACAATCTATTCTTCCTATTTTTCTCAGTTGTAACTGGACAAGTTAGTGCTGGGATTCACTCATATTTAAACCTGGATTTGTTAATAAACCAAGTGGAAGCATTAAGCCAGCTGCACCAATATTCATGTAACTTTTCCTTCTTGCAGAACCTTTTTTTAAGTAGTGGTCCTGTACACTTCCCCTGCAGATAGAGACAATGCTGAGCCTCTCTCAAATCCTCAAAGTGAAGGTTAAAAAGAAAAATATCCTGACATACCACTCAAGTTGACTTTACCCTCTACTTCAGGCAGAGGGCAAATTATTCAGTTGACAACTGAAATTGGAATCAAGATTCAACATGACTGCTTAGTATTGCAGTGAAGACAGGAAGTTGGACATATATATAATAATTATTAACTCTATCTTAGTTGCACTGGAGAATAAAATACTGTGTCATTTTAAGCGCTATTTCACTGGGACATTATTGTAGTGTTCCAGACATGATTGTGCATTCAAAATACTTGACAGCACTTTTGTTCTGCGACATGTTTAAGTTTTGAAAAAAATATGAATAGAAATTTCTAAAAATGAAGATCGTGAGAAAGATCTGATTTTGAAAATAAATGTAGGTTACACCTTCAGTGTCTGATCCCTGTGACTATAACCTTGCTTCATTCTTTTCTTCTTCAGCCTCTCTCCAGTATTTGATAACAATGATATAGTTATGGTTATGATCAAGAGGGGAGAGGGTGTCTGGCTCCCCTCTTTTGCCAGTCCTTGTTTGACTGCAGCAAGATTCTTTTGTGAAAAGTATATGCTTGCCGATTTAACGGGTGTTTAAACCATTAACACACTGTGATCATAATAGATCCAATTAAACAGGTGGTCTTAAAGAAAGAGGTTATCCCAATTGACTCAACCCGGTTTCTAAGAAAAAAAATGCAGAGCAAAAATTTGTACTCTCACACACATTCAAAGTTCACGTACACAAATAGATTACAGAGTCAGGAAGGAGAGCTGTCTAATTATAGTCCAGGGAAATGAAAGGGGATATAATTGTGGAGGTCAGTGACTCCGTGAATGTGTGGCCGAGGAGCTGGTGGAGGGGAAGGGATTCAAATTGTTGGATCATTGGATCTCTTCATGTTGGCATTGATGAGTTGGGCTAAAGGACCCGTTTCCATGCTGCATGATTCTAAATGCAAAATTTAAGCATCAAATCATTGTGGTTTATTTATATACAGTTGGCACTTAAAAGAAAACCCCCCCCCCGCATGATAATTCCAATCTATCAATTAACTCTTAGGTCAGGCCGATACTTGACTTGCTTAAAATTTCTGGAACCAAGCTCTGATGAAATCTACACAATGGAGTTCTGTGGTCACTATTGATTGCATTTTCCCAGCTTGCTCAAGTCCCACCTCTTATCCAAGACCAGAGTGTTTCAATGCAAATTTGCAAAAGCCAGGGGAAGACTGAAAATAAGTATACCATACCATTTCCATAAAAACGTGCTGTTGGAGTTTAAGCAGCTAGAATTATGTAGCTTACCAACCATAGGAATTTGCGTGTTGTTCAGCCAGAGCCCCTTAAACAGTGTATTGATTTATAAAGTTCTTGTAAGAATACAAGTTCCTGAAAAGATGATTCCACAGAAACTAAATTAGGATGTCAGTGAAATTTGACCACCAGCTTTCCAAAAGGAAATAACTCAAAACAGGAATGACATGTTAATTTTCCAAATGACATTTTCAAGGAGTCTGTTTAGAAGAGGGTAAGAGTTTTAAAGCGTTAATGCTTAAGATTGCATGAAAAATTCTCCACTCTAGTAATTTTATATAGACTTGGGAGTAGAACAGCTCAAGGTCTTAAAGGTGAAACCTACTATTTGGACCTTCTTCATTGTGACAGAACCAATGTCTATCAAATCAGTGTAACGTGTACCCACTTGCTACTGTGTAATAAACTACAACTTGTTTAAGACAACAGTCTCTTCTCATTAGATTAATGATTGATTGATTGGTTTTCCTCTAACACTCAATCCTCATCTAAAAGGATAATGGCAGCAAATATACTAGATAATAGCTTCTAAAACACTTAAATAGTGGTAATATGACATATTGACACAGCTTGAAAAAACTGCAGGATTTTCCAAAGTACCCTGCAGAGAAACTGATGCCAACATTGGGTCTGTAAACTTGTTTGGGGCTTGGTTTAGCTCAGTTCGCTGGATGGTTGGTTTGAGATGCAGTGTGATAACAACAGCATGGGTTCAATTCTCACACTGGCTGAGGTTACCATGAAGGATTCAGTTTCTCACCACCTTCCCTCACCTGAGGCATGGTGAACCTCAGGTTAAACACCACCAATTGTGTCTTTCTAATGAGAAAGCAGTCCTATGGTTTGGTAAGATGGTGACTTTTGACTTGTTTTAAAATTTTCATTTAATAATCACAATGACAGAAACCTTCTCCACCCACCTAAATTTCAAATCAGTGCCTGTTTCCACTTGATTCCTGCTGACATTCCTATGTTTCCATGTTAATGCTGGAGCTCTTCTGTTCATCTTTGTTCACATATACACTTCCAATACAAGCTCTCTACTTCCACCACTACAGCCCTTTTCTTCAGCAAGTAAACTGTTTCCATCTTCAATTTCAACTGGCTCCGTTTCAGCTGATTCTCTCTTCCTTCTCATTTCCCAGTTCAAGCAATTTCATGTAGGCATGCCTTCCTCTATGACTGAAAAATTATTGCGGCTCTCTCATCCTACTGACATTATTCCAAATCATATTTGCTACCAACTTTTCTCTCTCACTTTCTTCATCTCTTGCCCCGGTTCATTCATTCCCCAAGGTCCTCCCCTCACCCTTGTTACTGCAAATTGTACAGGGTCCAGACACTCTTTCCCAAAACCACTACACATTTGAGAAATAAGAAGTTCCTGCACATTTGTTCGCTCTGCATCTGTGTGTTAGGTCAATGCTGGGTATAGTAATGAGGAACAGAGCTAGAGCAGCAATGATTTTCATCCACACAAAAATGGATGGTGATCTTAAACACAAACTGTCCATTTAACAAGTTCCTATAATGCCAAACCAGGGTACTTCCAAGGAACAGCAATCAAGAACATTGGGTATGTTTATTGCCATTAGCTTGCTTTTATGGCTCAAATCAGCAGCTGAGACTGTGAAGCTTCTAATCTGCACAGTTTAGTACAGCAACAAAAAATACTCAGGCCTATGGGCATCATTTCTACCCTAAGTACTTTCTTTTCTGGCTTGAGGAGGAGATACTGCAGCTTTCCCAGCTGTTCCTTCTCTGCTATTTGCCTTCCTTTTGCTGACCCATCTTTTATCCTTCTCAGGTTTGTAAGGGTAATGGAAAAAAGGTTGAGATTGAGTACAAGCTTGTAATTGTCAGCTATTTCCAGTGCCACGCTAGTTTTCTACGTAGATTCTTATGAAGGGAGGAAGTGAATTTTCACATTCTTAGACCTTAAGGTGTCAGATCAGAGGGAAGCCATTCAGTCGTCATGTCTGGTCTGCCATTTAATGAAATCATGGCTGATCTGATAATTTTAAAATCCATTTTCCTGCTCGTTACCCATGACACTTAATTCTCTTTCTTTTTAAAAATCTGTCTATTTCAGCCATGAATATTCTCAAATCGACAGCCCTCTGCAGCATAGAATGCCACAGATTCACTATCCTCTGAGGGAAGAAATTCCACCTCAACTCTCTCAACATGTGAGTCCTTACTCAGATTATGCCTTTTGATTCTGGGTTCCTACACCGGAAACAACCTCTTAGCATGCGCTCTGCCAACTTCCCTAAGAATCCTACATGTTTCAATAAGGTTGCCTCACATTCTTATAAACGCCAATGTGTGCATGCCCAACCTACTTGACTCTTCTCCTCATAAGAAAATTCTCCATATCTGGGATCAATCTAGCAAGCTTTCTCCAACTACCTCAAATGCCAGTATGTCTTTCCTTGCAATGATAACCTTATTCTTAATCTTAAATCTTCTCTTCATAATGGGAACAAGACTGTTCAGTATTCTATATGTGGCTTATCTGGTGTCTTGTGTAGTTTTAGCAATACATTTATATTTTGATACCCCATTCCCTTTGAAATAAAGGTTAACATCCAATCACCTTCCCTATTACCTGCTAACCTGGTATGCTAGTTTTTTGTAATTGGTACACCAGGAGACCCAATCCCTCTGTATTGCAGCTTTCTGCACTTGTTTCATTTATGTAATAAGCAACTCCTCTCCCATTTGCGAAACCTCACTTGTTCTCATTCTATATTTCCATCTTCCATTTTTTTTTGTCTACTCACCCAATATGGTCAGCCTGCTATAGGAAGTGTATTATTAAATTAGAGAAGGTTCAGAAAAGATTTCCCAGGAAGTTGCCAAGATTGGAAGGTTTGAGTTATAAAGAGAGTCTAGATAGGCTGGGACTTTTTTCACTGGAGCACAGGTTCAGGGATGACCTTATAGTGGTTTATAAAATCACAAGGGGCGTAGATAAGCTGAATAGCAAGGGTCTTTTCCCAAGGCAGGGGGCTTCAAAACTAGGAGACATATTTTTAAGGTGACAGGAGAAAGATTTAAAAAGGACATGAGGGGCAACTTTTTTTTTTGACAGAGTGGTTTCTTTGTGGAATGAACTGCCAAAGGAAGTGGTGGATACAGGTACAGTTACAACATTTAAAAGACATTTGGATAAGGACATGAATAGGAAAGGTGTGGAGGGATATTGGCCAAATGCAGGCAAGTGGGACTAGTTTGGTTTGGGAACATGGTCAGCATGGACTGGTTGGACCAAAGAGTCTGTTTTCATGCTGAATGACTCTATAAAAATTCTCAACCCATGAGAAACAGGTCCCAGACATCCAGCTTGTAGCTAACTGAAGAGAGCTGGTTTAGGTGGTAGTTCCAGAGATCTTGCATTTCACTTCCTGACTCTGTGAAGTTTCCTTTTTAACTTTAATGATAGAGTTCAATAGGGAAATACTGTCAGACTGGATTAATTTGCAAATTCTTTGCCCTTTCAACTAGAGTGCTTTTGAAAATGTTGGAGAGGACAAAGGGTTCATAGATTTCAAACGAGAAACAAATACAAGTTAGTATTATTGGACTTGTTGATTTTTCCAACGAAATCCTTCTACAGATCTACCAGTTATCACAAGTGCACTTTAGGAGAATGTTCTTTTCAGAATTCTTTTGGTAGGGATTTCAATGCTCTTCTGGAATAAAAGGTGCTGTAGGATTTGGGTCTAAACAAAAAACAAAGTGGTTAGAAATAGACTGCATAAACCAAAGATAGTGCCCCAGTTGCTGCTACGTAGCAAGAATCTTCTACAATATTCAGATGTAAACAGGTACAATTTTACACATCAGCTATAAAAATAAATGACTTGTTCAGGAGACTAGAGGTACCCCGTTGTCTATCTATCTTGCAAAATTCACCATTTGGACCCAGTGTGAAAGAAAGTACGGACCAAGTTACTGGACTTAACAATGACTACTATTTATCTGTAGATCGAGTATATTTATTTGAAATAATTATGAACTTGACATAAAACATCTCTTCTACAAACAGATACAGGTATACAGGGTGTCATGGATG